CCTTTGCTTAAGTTTCAGAATGAAGTTTGCTGTATTCACATGTTACCTAAAGGATGCTGAGGTAGATGACGGAGAGATTGGCCTCAGGTTTCCTTGGCTCTCAGTAACTTAAGGACACGTGCAGAAGGGGGTCTTTCTAAAGCTCCAGTCACAGAGGGAAGACACTCATCAGACTTCATGGGACCCCAGTACATGGTCTTACCTCAAAGTCATTTCCCTTGTTATAGTGCATATTGAGAGCTCGAAAAAGTTCTGAGTCTCGGAGAACCACCAGCATTTGGGGATTTGTAACACCATCTGAAATTGCTTGCCGGGCATATTTTTCCATTTGGATATAATAAAACTCACGAAAGTTGCTGAACCACTTGATCATCTGGGAGGTAGTGCAACGGTTGAACTGTACAAACAAGGGGTCCATCAAGACAGACAGTTACCACGAGTGTTCAGAGAATCAGATTGTCTGCTTCCACTTCAACATAAGGGTTACTCTGAATGGCTTCAGCCAACATTAACAAGGACTTCCTTTAAAAAAAAAAAAAAAAAAAAGAAGCCCTGGCTGTTTTCCAAACCTATTAGCTATACTCAGAAAAATTTGAATCAGCTACAATACCTATTAGAAAATAAATGTTTTTTGATATGTTAGGCTTTTGAAGGCTTTTCACCCATGAAAAACTTTTCATGGTGTCTAAATGTGACTTAGGAAGGTCCAGGGCCAAGGCCAGTGTGGTGCCAGCTTTTACTGCATGGCAGCCCTAGAGTCTTCTACCTGAGTAAAAGACGAAGGGAATGGGAGGAAAGGTGTGGGTCAGAGAGCAGTTTACTGGCAACTTGAGGTTGCAGAATGAATTAAAATCGAGAGTATGCTGTAGGGGTTAACCATATAACTGATTATAAGGGAAAGGCCTGAAAAAACGTGAATGATACAGACCCAAAGTATTAACAGCCCCTAACCCAACAGCCAGTGTGGAGGGGGCCCTCAGAAACTTTTTATGGGAACAGATGAGGTCTGGTTCCAACAATCAGTTTGTCTTTCCTTAATGTCACATCTGATCTGCATGTACTTTCACTGAGTTTTGAAACAGCAATTTGAATGTTAATTTGACGGCGTCCAACTCTTTATATGTTCTCTCTGTTCCATACCGTCTCTAGCAAAGACAGAAAACTGGGCCCCAAACACCACTTACTAGTGTTGCTCTCCCTCCTTTCCTTTCTCATGTTTCTGGGATGATCTACAGCTTAAAAGCATAGAAATTCAGATACTTAACCTGCCTGCCCTAAAGTTATTCGCGATTACTTGGGCTGAGTCTCATCCCAGAGCTAGAAAGTGCACTGATTCCACCAGCAACACATGGGCAGCTGGAAGGGCACGTGGTGAGCTAGGTAGGACTTGTCTCTCACCAGGCAAACACACTGCAGAGGCTGCAACTCAGCGGAGTGACTTTACCTGAACATCAGGGAAATACGCCTTCAGGAGGTTGGAGCTGGGATACCGGGTGAAAAAGAACATGAGTTTGGCCTTCTTCAAATGACCAGGGTTTAGACCCTCCTGGATTTATCTCAATGTCAAGGAAACATTACACTTTAAAACACAGGTTTATCAAACAGTTTTATCAGATTATCCAAATAGTGGATTGTCCTATTCCTTGTGATTTTCATTTTGTCTTCCTTTTTTTCTGGTTGAATGGTATACTTGCTCCATTTTTCAGTTTCTGGAAATTTTGGTCAGTTGACTCTGGATACCATATGTGCACAGTTAAGTTATAGAATTTTTTTTAAATGTTGACATATAAAAGTTGTATAGCATGTATGTTATCAAATACAGTTTGTTGTACTTTCTGTGTATGTGTGTGCTGTCAGAATAGGCTGGGAAGAGATAGCAGTTCTATCCCAATAAACCCTTTTAAAACCCCAAGTAGAGATTTGCCTCCCCTCTCTGCCTCAGTTTCTTCATCTATAAAATGAAAGCGGTCAACCAGATGGTTCCCACTCTCGCTCTCATTCTTATAATTGCCTTTACAGTGTCTAAGCTAGCAAGCATCTAAACAGACTGAGTACCAGCTCACATTCTGCTCTTGCTCAGGAAGCTGGAGCTGTTGGGCTGCACTTGCTCTATGTGTGCCTGACAGAACCTTCCTTCCTCCTCCAAGTCTCAGCCCAGCAGCTCCCTCCTCTGTGAAACTCTTCCTCGCCAAATTAGGCCTTCCTGGTAACCCGGGGCTACCAAGATCCTTTGTACAGACCTGCATTGTGGCCATGACCTTATTGGAATTTTTACTACATGTTTGTCTCCCCATGTAGACTGTGAGGTATCTGAAGGCAAGCACCTTATCTTTTCATCACTGTGTTCCACATGCCTAGCCCAGTGCTGGGGACATAGTAAGTGCTCGATAAATGTTTGTTGGATGAAAGAGGGAGAGAACAATCAACCTTAATCCATACACACATGGACATTGTATTCCAAGCCACACTTCACTCAGGGAACAGATTCCTCCTTTAACAAGAGCACAGGAGCTGTGGTGTGGGAGGGAAATATTCTTACACAAGTATACTTAGCATTCCCAGGGGCAGTCCTCAGGCTGGGTAAGAAGCATTTCTCACAGTAGCCCTGGAGTTGAGGACTAGGACAAGGCTTCCCACAAGAAAACCAAACCAACCAACTACAATTATAGCTGGCCAGGTAACCAGGCTGTTGTGAGTAGAGCCCCCTGACTCCTGCCCTATTAATTGTCCTTTCTACAGGTTGTGGCAAGAATCCTGGATTGGGGCTCGGCACCTGTGGCTCAAGTGGCTAAGGCACCAGCCACATACACCTAAGGTGGCGGGTTTGAATCCAGCCCAGGCCTGCCAAAACAACAATGATGGCTGCAACCAAAAAAATAGCCAGACGTTGTGGCGGGTGCTTGTGGTCCCAGCTACTTGGGAGGCTGAGGCAGGAGACTCGCTTGAGCCCAGGAGTTGGAGGTTGCTGTGAGCTGTGATGCCATGGCACTCTACCCAGGGGAACAGCTTGAGGCTCTGTCTCAAAAAAAAAAAAGAATCCTGGATTTGGGAATCCAAAGTCCCAGTTTCAGACGATGACTTTTGTTATCTATTAGCTGTGTGACCTTGGGCAAGCCACTTAGGTGTTCTGCACCTCATTTCTAAGATGAAAAGTATATTGGTTAAAGCTTGTGCCTGGCTGTCAGATCCCGGGTATGAATTCTGGTGCCTCATTTACCTATCTTGCGACTTTAGGCAAGTTAGATAGCTCACTGCTATGTCCCTGCTTTTCAGATTCCCGATCTTAGAGCGATGATGGAGATGGTGAGATAATATTCATACAGGCCCTTTATCTGAAACATGGCAGGGCCAAATGGAGTTCAGATTTCAGAATTCCTGTTAATACAAACATAATACAATGTGTATACCATATGTTCATTACCGTCCACAGCCCAGGAAGCCTGTAATCCAATACACTGATGTTTTTACAGCTACTTGTATGACTATTCTAAGTGGAATAAAGTCTACAAATAGCCTCCAATCAGTGCAGGTTGGGTCTTGCTACCAAAAAAGATTATATCAATCTTGGAAAAGTAAAAGGGCTTTTTTGAGTTTGGTTTTTTTTTTTTTTGGATTTCTGAACTGTGGCTATACACGTAAACTGCTATCAAATGTTACCCTCATTAGGGTCTTCACACCTGCCCTGTTAGTCACAGGGGTGTCATACACATACGAATGTGGAATCTCTTTTAGCACTTTAAAGCTCGCTTTCATGGCCACAAGAATACACTTCTAGTGCTGGAATATATGTGGTAGGAATGAGAGGGTAACTGGGGACCAGGGTGCTGCCTCGGCCCCAGATCATTCCAGAGGTAGCCAAGTGCTTCACCCTCACAGCTAGGCCTGATTTAGGTCTTTCTTAGGATAGCCCCGAAACCTCCTCCCTGAAGCTCCGTGAGCCCAATCCCCATTTTATGAGGCACATTTAGGTGCTGGACAAATATCAGCAAATGTTTAGCCACTGAGGCATCTTGAGGTTCTTTGGGCACTACCTGAATGTAATGTAGGGAATCTTAGCCAGTTATCAAAGGCCCAGACAGGAGACGTTTCACGTATAGAAAGTCTGTTTATGTTGGTGTCTCTCCACCTCAAAGATTCCCTGCTGCCTGAAGAGGCAGTGGTGGGAAGAGTTCTTAGGTTTATGTTGCTTGCTGCCTTCCCGGAAAGCTTCGGGGTGTTGTCAACACCTTTGGCCAGCAGGGGGTGCGCGTAGCACTTAGGACACAGGGTGGGCTCAGGCGTCGGAGCAAGCTGATCCTGCTACTCTCACTGCAGTTGCCAGGCAGAGGACAGGACTCTACACACCTGGATATGCGACTCTTCAGTCACATCAACCTCTGGAGACTTAGCTCAAGGCTGCCGAGAAGCAGCAGGGTGAGCACATCCCTAAAAAGCAGCATCCAAAATATGTTCTCAGGAACTTTCATCTTGCATGATGCTTATTGGATAGGGTTCTTTGGTCGTGTGAGTTTGGGGCTGAATACATTTTCATTGGACTTCAGCATGTCAAAGGCTCTGAGAAATCCCCCAGCAAAGGAACTCACCCAATATTTTCCCAAGCTACTTTTTCTTCTAACTCAACAACTATTAACATCCTGAGTGTTACTCTGGGAAACACTTTAAGAAAGTGGAGTCAGGCTAAGGGCTGCAATGAGATCCAGACCCCTGCAGACCAGCCTGGGCCTCTCAGGCTTCCTCATGGGGGCCTCTTCTCCCTGCAAGGGTCCAGCACCCCATCTCCAGCCCATTTGGCTGTAGTTTGGAAGTTGTTCTTTAAACTGACGGTTCTGACCCCTTCCAGCTGCCTCTCTAGGCCTCGTCCCTGAGGAGAACTCCTTTGCCATCTTCCCCAGAAGTTCCTGGTCCCGTGAATGTCCCCATGAATCATCTAGGCAGTGCAGGCTTTTTGCCTGTATAGCCAGGGGTTGGAGAAGCCATACCTCAGATGAGGTCATTCCTTTGACCCTCTGCTGAGGTGTGTGGCAGCTGACAACCAAATTATGAGGTTCTTCCTTCCATAGGGTGTTGTCACATTTTGGAAGCCCATTTGCATTTAAAAACAAATAAAACCCTTTCAGACCCAAAGGAATTAAGTCAACTGTGGCAGAATCTAACTGGTCACAGAAGATAAATAAACCTTTCCGGGATCTTAAATTCCAGAATGTGGTCACCACTTTAAAACCAATAAGCTGTGAGTCAGGGAATGAAAACCCAGAAGCAACATTTTGAAGACCATGGGAAAGCAAAGCCATTTGCTATGCAGTACAGTGATTTGTCCCCTGTCCTCCTCCGTAACTTCTAGTTTCCCTGTTTCTCGGGCAGTGCCAATCAGAACGTCAATTACTTGTAAAGGATATGTGGACCGAGGAGAAAGGAAGTGCCTCGGAGACAGCCCGCAGGCCACCCTGCTCCATCTTCATGGAGGGAAGAAGGGGCAGGCTTTCTAGACGGGTGGAGGTGAAGGGCAGAGGGCACTGCTGCTGGCTCCACACTGCTGGTCGCAGTTTGGCAGTTTCCCAAGATGGTAGGGCAGACTCTGAGTGATTTGGGGAAGATGAGTCCTGGGGAGGACCGCCGTTCCAATGGCTGCTTGGTCCATGACCCAGCAGATGGCTAAGAATCTGATTTCCCTGGATGTGGGAAGGCACAGTCAGGGGACAGTTTACTGGGGGACCCTGATAGGATTTGGAGATCATTGGTGGAGAGATAGGGTACCTAGGAGAATCTAGAGGCTTGGCCAGTGGTAGGTTTCCCACTGGGACCCCAGCTTGTGTCTGGGCCCTCCTGGGTAAGGCAGTCAGAGCAAATGGACCTTTGTAGGCCCCGCCCCCAGGGGGTGAAGGCTTAGTTTTATCCTCCGGCACTTCCAGTCCCTGGCAGTCTTGGCCCAGCTGAGCCAGGCAGCCTGGTGGATCCAGTAGCACCTTTTGTAATACTGAGTCTACAGCCTGGGATACTGCCCCCATGAGTTCTTTCCTCAGAGTCTTCAGCAAAGCCTGTGCTCTGGAAGAGAGGAACCTGGCCTCCTCAGACTGGTATTTATCCTCAGACACTCTATGTTTTTCTGCCCCAGAGAGGTCCTTGCTGGAACCCTGGTGGTGGTCACTGTTCATGATCCAGGGTCCAGACCCACAGCCATTCCTCTGCTTTACACTCAGAGGGCCTTTACCCTTGTCGGTGCCGTCTGGGCCCTGGGCTGTGCCCCTGGGCTCAGCAGCCTGCAGGATGTGTGCCTGCAGGTGTCTCAGCTGTCGCCTCAGCAGGTGAAGTTGTTCTCTCACCCGAGGCCCCCCCTTCCTGTTGCCTCCATCCTGGGCAGGGCCTGGCTTCAGGGAACCTTGCTGCCTGGGAAGGCTCTGCTTCCTCTTCCGCTCTCGGGCCTTCTCTAGGCAACACGGGCTGTTCCTGGCTGGAGCATCACTTGGCGCCAGAGGGCTGGGAGACAGACACATGCCTCGGACGATGGTCTCCACTCTGGCCCTCTTTGCCTGGACATGCTCATCCCCAAGCCAGACCGCGTCAATGGGGACCTGGCCCCAGGGAAAGGGGGAGTTTCTACCTAGCTCCTGGGGGCATGGGCTTCTCTCCCTTGCCATACAGGGTTCTGTCAGGTGGGAGCAGGTCCGGGACTGAGGAGAAAGCAAGATGGAGTTTGGATCCATCCCCTGGCTCCCCAGGAACTTGTTCAGAGCTCTGTGAAGGAGCTAAGGAACTTCAGGAGTCCCTCCTTATAATCTCCCCAGCTGGGCCTGCACCCAGAACCAGTTGGGTTCCTCCTCTGCACTTAGAAGGGTGAAAAGCCACCGTCTCAGAGGAAGGATTCAGATTCTGGGACATTAGGGCTTACAAACCTCCTGAGAAGGACTCCTGAAATCAGAGACAGGAAGAAAACAGTACATGTGACTTTGAACAATGCTTCTCGAACTTGATGGTGTAAACCAATCACCTTGAGATCTTGCTGAAATGCAGGTCTAAGTTCAGTGTGTCTGCTTCTCTAACCAGCTCCCAAGTGGTGCCCAGCCACTGGGAGGGACCCCACTTTGAGGGGATTCCCAAAAATGATCCTCTAGGTAGAAAAATCTTCTCCTGCCTGGAATAACAAAATAATAATAATAACAATAATAACAATGCCAGCCAACTGAACAATTGGCATTATGCCAAGAATATTACATCTATTATCTAATTTAATTCTTATATAACAACTCCATGAGAAAGTTGTCATTCCCATTATTGACAAATAAGGAACTAGTCTCAGAAAGTTAAGAAGTTACACCCCAAGGTCATGCATCTAGCAAGTGACGGGTTAAACCAAGATCTATCTGATTCAGGCTAGGTGTGATGGCTCATGCATGTAACCCTAGCAGTACAGGGAGGCCAAGGCAGGAGGATCGCTTGAGCTCAGGAGGCCATGACCAGCCTGAGCAAGAGTGAGATCCTAACTCTACTAAAAATAAACATTATGGCAGGTCCCTGTAGTTCTAGCTACAGGAGAACACACCCTCCCAAGGCAGGAATTTGAGTTTGCTGTAGACTAAGCTGATGCCACACTCTAGCCTAGGCAACAGAGTAAGACTCTGTCTCAAAAAAAAAAAAAAAAAAAAAGA